GGTCGTAAGTCACTTTTTCCGGGACCGCCGTAACTTTGGACGGTCACAAAACAAACGGTTGTAAGTCGCCTCGCTTTACGACCTCGCTCGTCACAGCCCCCACGGCCGTGCGATCAAAATAGGGGTTGTTTTTTGACATGAGAAATATAAAAATATTGGGATAGTTTATATAAATGTTTTTTCTGTATTTTTCTTTTCTTTTTTAAAAAGATATAATAATAATAATAATAATAATAATTAATAATAATAATAATAATAATAATAATAATAATAATAATAATAATAATAATAATAATAATAATAATAATAATAATAATAATAATAATAATAATAAAAACAACATCAAACATCCACATCTGCCTATCCCAGGTCCTGGGTAAGGACTTGATAGGTAGACAAAATGCCAAATCCAGTCTGAACATCTGGCTGACTTTGCGATGATCCATAATAATAATAATAATAATAATAATAATAATAATAATAATAGCAGAATAGACGAGAAAGAACTGTTAGAAGATAACAAAATACAAAGACCTACAAATAGAAATAGAAAGACTGTGGCAAAGGCAAGCAAGGGTAGCACCAATAGTCATAGGCGCCTTGGGTGCAATCCCAAAACAACTGGAGCACCACTTGGACACCATCATCGGCATTGACAAATTCGCCATTAGTCAATTGCAAAAGGCGGCCTTACTAGGAACTGCCTCCATCCTGCGACGAGATCTGTAATACCATCAAACATCCACATCTGCTTATCTCAGATCCTTGGTAAGGACTCGATAGGTAGACAAAAATGCCAAATCCAGTCTGAACATCTGACTGACTGTGCGATGATCCATATAATACTAATACTAATACTAATACTAATAATAATAATAATAATAGTTGGAAGGGACCTTGGAGGTCTTCTAGTCCAGCCCCACTGCTCAGGCAGGAAACCCTACACCATTTCGGACAAATGGCTGTCCAGTCTCTTCTTAAAAAGTCCAGTCTCTTCTTTAAAAAAATGAGAAATATAAAAGTGTTGGGATGGCTTGTATGAGGAAAAGGACTTAAGTCCTTAAGTGTTTACTAATTTCGAGAAGATCTTAACCAGTAAAGAATGCATTTGAATATTGTGGGGAAAACCAATTTAAATAGGAATTCTGTAAACAGGATCTAGGATGAGGCAGTCAAGATGATCAACTAGAAAAGAAGCTTTATACTGATGTGGTTGCTATTTGCAGAAACATGAGAAAAATGTCTACATTTCATTGTCATTTATTCAAACAATAAGAACCGTGTTAACTGAAGGTTGGCAAAAGAGAATATTATTGGGAAGAAGAGAAAAGCCAAGCCATTATATGGACTATAGAATTATAGAAATCAATTATTATGGATCGTTTTTTAAATACCAACCCAGACCACAACACGCTTGTTTCCCAAATATTAAGGCGATGATGTTAAAAAAATCAATAAAACATATTTAAAAAATCCAAAACAAAACAGGGATGGCTTGGCAGTTGGTTATCCTTTGCTATGCTGGGGTCCCAGCCGGCCCCCAACAAACCAAATCAGTGGGGCAAAAAACCCGCAAGGAAGCTTCTCCAGCCACGGCAACAGGGCGTCTCGTTTAACGACGAATGCGGTTGCGGTCATTAAGTCGAGGACAACCCTAACGGCTTCGGCGCTGCCTGATTCAAGGATTTGGAAAGCGAAAGAACGCACAGCCATGTAAATATTTGGCAAAGTGTGATGTTTCTAGGTTGTGGGTATGTTCGGATCAGCCGATCGGCTTTCCGGGCCGAGCGAGACTCCGAAAGAACGCACAATGCGGTGGGTTGGCCGTGTAAATATTTGGCAAAAGTGTGATGTTTCTCTGCTTGTGTGCGAGAATGCATATCCAACGGGCGTCTCCTTTTGATCCGTGACCCTCCGTTCCAAGAGTTGCAAGCAACCCGGTGCGTGTTTGAACAAGTTTTGATCCTGCTGCGGTTTTTATTGTTTTGTTGACTGGCTTTCCTCTCCTTTTTTCCGGTCAGAGAGAGAGAGAGAGAGAGAAAAATAAAACATCAGCGTCTCTTCTTGACATTCCTTGCAAAACAGATTTTGGAACCGCCTGGTTTCCCATGGGAAAGATGAAACTACAGTTCCCATCTCTTGCTGGGGATGAGGGGTCTGGGGGGTCAGTGTATTTGGACATTGGGGGAAAGAGGGAGGGTGGGGAAAGGACAGCGGAGCCCCCTCCCCAGAAATCAATCAGGACTCATCAAATGATGCACAGTCCGTGACTTAAAAGTAATAATAATAATAATAATAATAATAATAATAATAATAATAATAATAATAATAATAATAATAATAATAATAATAAGAAGAAGAAGAAGAAGAAGAAGAAGAAGAAGAAGAAGAAGAAGAAGAAGAAGAAGAAGAAGAAGAAGAAGAAGTTGGAAGGGATCTTGGAGGTCATCTAGTCCAACCCCCTGCTCAGGCAGAAAACCCTATACCATTTCAGACAAATGGCTGTCCAGTCTCTTCTTAAAAACTTCCAATGTTGGAGCATTCTCAACTTCTGGAGGCAGGTAGTTCCACTGGTTAATTGTTCTCACTGTCAGGAAGTTTCTCCTTAGTTCTAGGTTGCTTCTCTCCTTGATTTAGTTTAGTGACGATTCGAGGTTACGACGACGCTGAAAAAAATTTACTCAGGGCCCATTTTCACACTTTCGACCGTTGGAGCGGTCAGGTGATCAAAATTCTTCACACTTGGCAACTGACTCATATTGATGACCGTCGCGATATCCTGGGGGGTCACGTGATCACCTTTTGCGGCCTTCTGACAAGCCAACTCAAGGGGGGAAGCCGGGTTTACTTAACAACGGCGCCATTACCAAACAACTGCAGCGATTCGCTTAACAACCGGGGAAAGGAAGGTTGTAAAACGAGGCATAAATTCACCGAACAAACGTCTCCCTTGTAACGACAGAAACTTTGGACTCAGTTTAGGTCCTAAGTCAAAGAACTGCCCGTACCTTTAAATGCCGGTTGTCAAGTGCCTGGATTTTGATCACGTGGGGGATTCTGCGACGGTCATAAGCACGAGGACAGCCGTAAGTCGTTTTTTTCTGGTGCCGTTGTAACTTGGGACGCTCACTAAATGAACTGTTTATAAGTCGAGGACACCCTGCAGTGTGCAATCAATAAAGATTGGTGTCTTGTGCAAATATATATATATATATATATATATATATATATATATATATATCCCTTTTAGTGAGGAACATTAAATAGCGTGAGCTGGGAGGGACCTTGGAGGTCATCTAGTCCAGCCCCCTGCTCAAGCAGGAGACCCTATACCATTTCAGACAAGTGGCTGTCCAGTCCCTTCTTAAAAACCTCCAAGAATCAGGAAGTGATCCTGATTTCTGCACGTGTTCAGAGTTATTCTTTTTAACAGATGTTGTTGTTAGTTGCGAAGTCGTGTCCGACCCATCACGACCCCATGGACAATGCTCCTCCAGGCCTTCCTGTCCTCTGCCATCTTCTGGAGTCCATTGAAGCTCACGCCTGCTGCTTCAGTGACTCCATCCAGCCACCTCCTTCTCTGTCCTCCCCTTCTTCTCTTGCCCTCCATCTTTCCCAGCATCAGGCTCTTCTCCAGGGAGTCCTTCCTTCTCATTAGGTGGCCAAAGGACTTGAGTTTCAACTTCAGGATCTGGCCTTCTAAAGAGCATTCGGGGTTGATCTCCTCCAGGATTGACTGGTTGGATCGCCTTGCAGTCCAGGGGACTCGCAGGAGTCTTCTCCAGCACCAGAGTTCAAAGGCATCCATTCTTTGGCGCTCAGTCTTTCTTATAGTCCAACTTTCACAGCCATACATTGCAACTGGGAAAACCATGGCCTTGACTATACACACTTTTGTTGGCAGGGTGATGTCTCTGCTTTTTAGTATGCTGTCTAGATTTGCCATGGCTTTCCTCCCCAGGAGCAAGCGCCTTTTAATTTTTTTTTAACAGATACTCTTCCTTTAATACATGATGCAAAGGGCTGGCTGGGGTTTTTTTCCGAGGTAATTAATGATGATCAATTCCATTTTTATGCTCTCGGATTTTCACCTGATCTTATTATTTCTTACAAGGTCTTCTGAGTTTTTGGTGACGAAAAGAGCTGAAAGAAAAGATCTGTAAGTCCCCGACTTACAACAGTTCATTTAGCGACCGTTCAAAGTTACAACGGGGCTGAAAAAAGTGACCCGTGACCGATTTTCACCCTTAACGACCGTTGCATATAACGACCGCGGTCATATATGACTTACATTCGGGTGCTTGAAAAAGCAACCCACATTTATGACGGTTTGCGCTGCCCCGCCGTCACGCGATCCCCTTTTGCAACCTTCTGACAAGCCAGATTCACTTAACAACCGTGTCACTCACTCAACAAATGCAAGGATTCACTTAACGACAGTGGTGAGAAAGGTCGTAAAGTAAAACTCACTTCACCAATGTCTCACTTACGTTGCATTTAAAACCCGAATCATGTGGCCGTAAGTCGGAGACTAGGAAGTATTGCTATGATTTGTCGGAAATGGTATAGGGTTTCCTGCCTGAGCAGGGGGTTGGACTAGATGACCTCCAAGGTCCCTTCCAACTTTATTATTATTATTATTATTATTATTATTATTATTATTATTATTATTATTATTATTATTATTACTACTACTACTACTACTACTATTACTACTACTACTACTATTATTATTATTACTACTACTACTACTACTACTACTACTATTATTATTATTATTATTATTATTATTATTATTATTATTATTATTATTATTATTATTATTATCCTGGAAATCTCTGTTCGGATCAGCCCGGCAAGCAGAAGCCACAAAAGGGGGGATCAGCACCCCGTTAAAATGAGGTCAAGTTTGGGGTTTGCCTTTGGTTCACCCCCCCAGAAGCGACCCAGCTGCTTTCCTCCCCTTCAACACGGTTTCCTTCCCTTCCACCCTTCCTTACCTGTTTCTTCGCATTCAGACGAGCTGATGTCTTTCGCGGTTCCTCCTTCCTCGTCGCTCCGGACCTTGCGAACCCTTCGCGAAACCCGTGCAAAGAATCTAGGATCCTCTTGGTAAGTCTTTGCTTGCTTTTGCCCAAGATGGGTCTAACCCTGGGGTGGATCCAACGGATCCTTTGCTTTTCTCTTCGTTCGCCTCCCTCCCTCCCTCCCTTCTTTCTTTTCTTTCTTTTCTTTCTTTCTTTCCTTCTGTTCTTTCCGTGGTTCTCGCGCGGCTGGCCGGTCCCGCGGACGGAAACCCCACACCGCTGCTTCTTCGGTCCAAAGTTGAAACTTGATGCTCTCGCAACGCTCTTGTGTGTGTGTGCGCACACACACACAGAGACACACACACACACACACGCCCACGGAGCGAGACACCCGCAACAGCCCGATTCAAACTCAAGGCGAAGTTGAGCTGGAGGGCGGGGCGGGGTGGGGAGGAAAGACGTGAGTGGCAGGTCGAGGCGGCCAACCGCTGGGGAAGGCTGCCTATGAATAGACCAATGGAGGGTGGGGCTGCCGAAGTGGGAGGGCTTTAACGAGGGGGGGAGAGAAAGAAGAAGGGAAAGTTGTCCCTTGGAACGGTTTCTGGTCTGTCTTAGCCCCCCCCNAAGAGCCCCAAAATGGGAGATTTTCAGCCATCCGTCATTATGGGAAGATCCCTAACTTTACTCTCATCCAGAAAATGGGTAAATTGCATTAAATAAATTAAATTAAAATTGCACTTAAGGAATTAAAGAATGGAAGTGACATCTAGCTGAGGAAGGACATTTAGGCAAGAAAAACCAAATGTACAGGTATAGTATAGGGGTACCTTGCTCAATCCCCTGTGAGAGGGATCTTGGAGTCCTAGTGGACAATCACTTAAATAGGAGCCAGCCATGTGCTGCAGCTGCCAAAAAGGCCTACACAGTGCTGGGCTGCATGAACAGAGGGATAGAATCAAGATCACGTGAAGTATTAATACCATTTTACAAGGCCTTGGTAAGGCCACACTTGGGATACTGCAGTTTTGGTCACCACGATGTAAAACAGATGTTGAGACTCTAGAAAGAGTGCAGAGAAGAGCAACAAAGATGATCAGGGGACTGGAGGCTAAAACTATACAAGGAACGGTTGCTAGAATGGGGAATGTCTAGTTTAATGAAGAGAAGGACGAGGGGGGACATGATAGCCGTGTTCCAGTATCTCAGGGGCTGCCCCAAAGAAGAGGGAGTCAAGCTATTTTCCAAAGCGCCTGAAGGCAGGACAAGAAGCAACGGATGGAAACTCATCAAGGAGAGAAGCAACCTAGAACTAAGGAGAAATTTCCTGGCAGTTAGAACAATTAACCAGTGGAACAACCTGCCTCCAGAAGCGGTGAATGCTCCAACACTGGAGGTTTTTAAGAAGAGACTGGACAGCCATTTGTCCGAAATGGTCTAGGGTTTCCTGCCTGAGCAGGGGGTTGGGTTAGATGACCTCCAAGGTCCCTTCCAACTTTATTATTATTATTATTATTATTATTATTATTATTATTATTATTATTATTATTATTATTATTATTATTATTATTATTATTATTATTATTATTATTGATCATTGCACAGTCAGCCAGATGCTCAGACTGGATTTGGCATTTTTGTCTACCTATCGAGTCCTTACCAAGGATCTGAGATAAGCAGATGTGGATGTTTGATGGTATTACAGATCTCGTCGCAGGATGGAAGCAGTTCCTAGTAAGGACGCCTTTTGCAATTGACTAATGGCGAATTTGTCAATGCCGATGGTGTTCAAGTGGTTCTCCAGTTGTTTTGGGATGGCACCCAAGGCGCCATTACTATTGGTACTACCCTTGCTTGCTTTTGCCACAGTCTTTCTATTTCCATTTGTAAGGTCTTTATATTTTGTGATCTTCTCCAGTTCTTTTTTGTCTATTCTGCTGTGTCCAGGCACTGCCACGTCCATTATCCAGACTTTTTTGTCTTTCTTATCGACAATTTTTAAGTCCGGGGTGTTATGTTGCAGGTGCTTGTCTGTTTGAATTCTGAAGTCCCAGAGCAGTTTAATTTTATCATTTTCTATGACTTTCTCTATTTTATGATCTCTATTATTATTATTATTATTATTATTATTATTATTATTATTATTGTTGTTGTTGTTGTTGTTGTTGTTGTCATTATTATCATCATCATCATCCGGTGCTTCTTTTTCAGTGCCTCTGACTTTAAATACAACCAGTCCCAGCCAGCAGGGCCAAAGTCAGGGTTTATGGGAATTGTAGTCTGAAACATCTGGAAGATGCCTGCGCTCGGCTTGTCGGCTGCTCAAAAGAGAATGCAGGTCTAACCCAGCTCGGCTCTTCTTTTTGTCATGACATTTTATGCAGAAGAGAGGGGTGTCTGGTTCTCCCTCTTGACGATAAAAAAGCCTCCATAACCAGGAGCAGTCTACTTCTGGGAGACCAAAGGGGAAGACTGCCTTCAAGGCCTCCTTATCTAAGGCTCTGATCACTGTCCGAAGCAGGAGCTACTGGTTCGTTTGACTGTTCAGCTGGGATCCAGAAATAAAGTAGCAATATTTGTTCGTTCGTTCGTTCGTTCGTTCATTCATTCATCCCTCTATCCATTCATTACAACCCTTTTGCGTTTATTTAATCCAGGGGTAGCCAACCTTGGCTCTTTTATAACTCGTGGACTTCAACTCCCAGAATTCCTGAGCCAACATGGGGGAACTATGGTCCCTTCATGACTCGTGGACTTCAACTCCCAGAATTCCTGAGCCAGCATGGCTCAGCTTGGAAACCTCTCCCTTTTCCCTCAGCATGGCTGGCTCAGGAATTCTGGGAGTTGAAGTCCACGAGTCATAAAAGAGCCAAGGTTGCCTACCCCTGATTAATCAAAACATTCTATAGGTAAGTCCTTGACTTACGACCCCAATTAAACCCAACGTTTCTGTAGCTAAGGCAGACTTTTGTTAAATGAATTTTGTCCCACTTTATGACCTTTCTCGCCATTGTTGTTAAGCGAATCGCTGCAGCGGATAGCCAGTGAGTAACTTGGTTGTTAAAGCGAATCCGGCTTTTCCCCCCCTCTCGACTTTGCTCATCAAAAGTTCACAAAAGAGGGTCACGTGACCCCGGGACGCTGCAACCGTCCTAAGTACATGCCAGTGGCCTCTGGATCTTGATCACGTGACCCCTGGAGAGGCTGCAATGGTCGCAAGGGCGAAAAACGGCCCTCAGTCTCTTTTTTTCATTGCCGAACGGTCACTAAATGAATGTTTGTAAGCCAGGGACCACCTCTACCGATTCCTCCGCATTTACTCATTTCATTAAGCTGTAATTATTCTTCAGCAGCTGTTTCCTTGTTTGTTTCATTGTATATCACTCTTCATCTTCTAATTGTGATCCTGGCTGGCACGCCTAGGATGATGGGATCGCCCTAAAGCTGGGCGTAAATAACTTTTTGATCCTTGTCCACCCTTTGCAGGGTGGAGGTGCCAGCTGGCCTTGCCGAATTGTGGCCAGTCACAACTTCTCCGAGGCAGGATTCCTACTTACTAGAAATTATCCTGGGGGGACTGCAGCCAAGAAATTGAAAGACACTTGCTCCTGGGGAGGAAAGCTATGGCAAATCTAGACAGCATACTAAAAAGCAGAGACATCACCCTGCCAAAAAAAGTGCGCATAGCCAAGGCCATGGTTTTCCCAGCTGCAATGTGGGAATGTGAAAGTTGGATCACAAGAAAGGCTGAGTGGCCAAAGAATGGATGCCTTTGAACTACGGTGCTGGAGAAGACTCCTGCGAGTCCCCTGGACTGCAGGGCGATCAAACCGGTCAGTCCTGGAGGAGATCAACCCTGACTACTCTTTAGAAGGCCAGATCCTGAAGTTGAAACTCAAGTCCTTTGGCCACCTAATGAGAAGGAAGGACTCCCTGGAGAAGAGCCTAATGCTGGGAAAGATGGAGGGCAAGAGAAGAAGGGGACGACAGAGAAGGAGGTGGCTGGATGGAGTCACTGAAGCAGGAAGCATGAGCTTAAATGGACTCCAGAAGATGGTAGAGGACAGGAAGGCCTGGAGGAACGTTGTCCATGGGGTCGCGATGGGTCGGACACGACTTCGCAACTAACAACAACAAAATCCTGGGGGGGGGAGGAGATTCAGCCCCCCCCCAGTCTAGTAAAACCACTCTCGGGATGGAGGGAGTCCTCGCCTTACGACCACAACTGAGCCCCAAAATTTCTGGAGACTGAGCTATGCACACGTTTCCCCAGCGGAGCCATCCCGGAAGGAGGCAGCCGTGCCGTGGGAACCAAAGGGAAAACCTTCCATCAGATCTGCCTCCCTCCCACGTGGTCCTCGGCTTACGACCACAACGGAGCCCCAAAAATCCAAAGAAAGATTTCCAGGAAAATCATGGATATACTGGGTTGTCTCCGGATTACGACCACGGCCGAGGCCAGAATTTCCGTGGCTAAGCCAGACAGTGGTTCAGGGACCCCTGGCTCATTTTACGACCTTTCCTGCCAGCGTTGTTAAATGAATCGCTGCAGTTGTTAAGCTAGTAAGCCGGTGGTTAAAGGAATCGGATTTCCCGCTTGACTTTGCTCATCAGGAAGGTCGCCAAAGGGGGAACCACCTGACCCCCCAGGGACGGCGTGACCGTCATAAGTAGGAGTCGGTTGCCAAGCATCTGTATTTGGATCACATGACCACGGGGATGCTGCAACAGTTGTAAGTCTGAAAAACGGTCGTAAGTCACTTGTTCCGGGACCGCCGTAACTTCGGTCGGTCACAAAACAAATGGTTGTAAGTCGCCTCGCTTTACGACCTCACTCGTCACGCCCCCCACGGCCGTGCGATCAAACTAGGGGTTGTTTTTTGACATGAGAAATATAAAAATGTTGGGATGGTTTATATAAATGTTTTTTCTGTATTTTTCTTTTCTTTTTTAAAAAGATATAATAATAATAATAATAATAATAATAATA